GCTAACCTCAGGCCACTGAAGAAAATTGTTTCGAAGAGGCATTTTCGTTGACGACTTCTTTTGAATGATCACAATTCATAAATAATGGATTTATAACAATTAGACGATCATAATTCATCGAGAAATCAAGCAAAATGCACATGCACAAGGGATAAATGCACAAAGATTAAAATCTCATGGATTTATCTTGTCGTACAAAATTGAATATCGCTCTAACAATGCTGAATTTTCCAACGATTAATCTTTTCGTTTAAACAGTACTCTCAAGCAGATCAATTTACTAATGTTTTCGTTAAATTACTACGCTCAAGAATAAAGAAAAAACTGCTAAACAAAATGATATTATGAGAGGTGTAGAGTGAATGAGATAGATGAATTTGAAAGTGGAATGAAAACGAACCCATAAAGACTAACGTCGTCGAACGAAGTGATTGGCTGAAGACCGCAAAATTTCCGGTAGTGATTGTAGGTGGGGAACGCGTGATCACGTCCTCGCATGATATTGATCGACGCCATGTCGAGCATACCTCCGCCGAGAAGTTCAGTTACCTGAATGATGCAAATTCCGGTGGACTGACAAAATGTCCTGGTGCTTGTCTTCGTCTGATTCAACTCATTCAATTCGAATTAATCAACACTGACATTGATATAGTTACAGGAAGCAGTTTTTGAATATCACAAAAATCATTGACGAATTATGATAAATACACCGAAGGAGCTGTATGATCGATAAGTGATTACAGGTGCGCACAATAACTTGTTTTAACCGCATTTGACCAGATAATTGCATGAATGGGAAAATCAACACCGTATTTCACTGGTCAACCATCCCTGGGGAATTAATGTATCTGGGCGTTTGCAGATACGATCTACTTGACAATGAGGCAGTGGATCCAATAAGAGGGGGGGGGGAATTATATAATGACACAAACAAGATGTATGAGAAAGCCACAACTCAGACGAATAAGGCTAACAGAAATTTTAGATGAAAAACGATAGAACCTGCGTAGTGATACGTTGTGGAAGTCGAGCAGGTTGTGAAAGAAGTCCGCGAATCAAATTATCAATGCCACTGCTGATGAGTTTCTGAATCTGGAATGTCGATTCAACGAATCGTGTTACATCGACCACATCGAATTTCGCATTACGTAACTCGTACGTTTCCTTAATTAGTATTAATTAGGGAAATCCAAATTATCAATTGATTCTCATCATTAAATGCATTTCGTCATTCATGATTACTTTCGAAGCAATCAAAAATTCTCGATTTCTCACAACTTCACACCACCGAAATTCAACTGGCTACGTTTCCGAAACCAATTTCTCAATCCTATTAAACTCGATCCAAACTTTCCCG